ATATATATATATATATATATATATATATATATATATATATATAAGTATATAAAGTGAATGCATAGAAAACTTGACTGGCGCAAATCTACGGCTCACCCTGATTATCGCATTTATGGGTTCCTTAGGGGCAGGTACATGGCGGTGGCGAATCCCCTTTTAAAACGCTCACACGATCTGAAGGACTTAAGCAGATATTACACTATTTAAGGCATTTCTATTAAAAAGAAATATATAAATCAACAAATCAAGGTATTTCACACCATACTCCAACATTCTTTCATTGCAAACTCAATTCACTAATGCATAATGATAATTTCTAAAAATGTGTCAACCTACCATGTGTAATCAGAACATTATTTGCTATAGCATTTCATCTGAACATTATTTGCTATAGCATTTCATTATAATTGTAATGTAATGTAGTTTTGATTTATATGGCGCTTTATACAGAAGTCTCAATGCGCTTGTGGTGTGAACTAGCTCGTACAGTAACTTGATTCACCCCTAAGGGTCTCTTCATGTCTGAGCTACCTGGTAAGCCGGTACCAGCTACTCTCGTCTGTCCACAACAGGGGTGTATGGACCAGTACACTGGGATAACCCCCTACTCATCACAAAAGATGTATTGGGTTCTTTTTAAGTGCACACAAGCCAAATTGTGTACACTGCAGTGGCAGATTCAAGGGAGACCCAGCCGATCCAGTTCCCCCCATCCCCCTAAATTTTTCAAAGTTTAGAAGAAAAAAAAATTCTACTCGAGTTTTGAGCCTAAGAGTGCCATTTCCAGCCATCTAGAAACATTTTCTTACCTCATACCCCAACCACGGTGGGGCTGAGGTAGTATAGATCCTCTGTCTCTGAAAGTCCCTCTCTTGGGCCCCTTCTATTTTAAAATTCTGGATCTGCCACTGCACTGGGCCTACAGATCTTGCTTATTAGGGCCCCCAATAACAGTCACTGCCAAGGCACTACAAACTCTGTGACATCATTGATTGTATTAACATTAAAGGAATCTTGAATCATTGTATCTTAAAATTAATAGTGCGAGTTGAAACTCACAGTACATTATCTGTGGCTGCAGTTGCTTTAGGCCTTTTTAAATTTTTATCTCTCACCCTGTGACCACCTCCACCACCACCTACGCGCTTGACATGATTAGCAGAATTAAGTATAATATCTGCTCATAAAAAACCAGGGAGGAAATGATTATGCATATGCCTCCCATGTCTATCAATACTTAACCGTACTCAGGCACCAAACCATTTAGACACGCAACAGCATCCATTGACAATTTCGCTTCAGTTACTAACTTGAAAATAAATACCGTTAATTTGGGATTTTCAATTATTTTTTCAGGTTTAATTTGCATCAGGATGTAAAGTCTTTATAATTCGATGAGCGATGCTCAACCGTAACAACAACAATTATACGCAACGGCGCTTTCACACTAAACCATTTTACAATGGTCGTCATTCCTCCAGTAATCACACACACCTAGGGGACAAATGCACGATTGACCAATTCAATAACCATGTGATCAACTCGTCGGTTGTAAATGATCCCAAATGGGATTCAAATTTACCGCTACCAAATCTTACATTCCGTGCGGCTGTTATAGTGGTTATAATATTCGCATTCATCTGTTATGCGAATAGCATTCCAGGAACTTTTGTTTTTGATGATTTGGAAGCGGTTGTGAACAATAAAGATGTGTTACCAGGGTCATCATGGTCAAATGTCTTTCAGAATGACTTCTGGGGCAAGAAATTGTACAAGAAAGAAAGCCACAAATCATACCGCCCTCTACCTGTCCTGACATTCCGGTGAGTGATTAATATTTAATATTTCTTTGCATATAAAACTTTCTTTGCACATTGACTTTGCTTCGTGTGAATCAATCTTCACTCTTTGTGAGCTGGTTGTCGGGGGAGGATTGAAGGGATCATTATTAAAAATGATCCGTTGCGTGAACTTCATCGCATTGTGATGTTTCATGGAATTGCTTCAGCCAAGGAATATCGCTAAGGTGTGTGCCCGGCCTAATAATTATGTTTAATTTCTATATATTATTGAAGTGCCTAACCCTAAATAATTAAATGACATGATAGTAACTTTGATAAGGAGAAACACCTCCACTTGTGAAATGATGATAATAATTGTTGAGAAAAATGTATTTCCCCATCAAGCCCTTAACCTAAACTTTCTGATTACTGTTTGGATACTCTATGAGGCCCTTGAATTTTTTCATTTCCATACAGTAATTTAAATATTCATTGTGTATTATGCAATACCAATGAGAAAAAGAAAAAGAAAAAAAACATGTCTAATGGGAACATGCGCCTGGTGATGGATGGTGACCCCGAAGAGTATTTGCGTCTTATTTTGCCTATCTTCCCATCCATGTCAGTTCTGTCATAAAATAAATATACTTAAAAATAAATAAATAAAGAATTATAATAAAATTAATTAATTAATTCAAAAATAATAATGCAGAAAAATTGCTACATGTACACTCTGCAGGTGGAAAACAGCGCCACAAGCAGCTTGGACTAAGAGATGGATACGTGCGCCTAATAAGATGACATTATTATTATTTATTAAATCCAAGGGTGCCTTATAGCTTTGGTAATATCCATACAGAAATCAGAAGGTATTGAGTTCAAATCTTGATGAGAACATACATTTTTCTCAAATATTTATTATTTATTTAAATATTTAAAATTACAACATTTTAGGATAAAGTAAAATACAACAAAAGTTCCTTCAAGAATAACCAAAATTGTATAACAATATTGAGAGATCTCCTAAGCAGAAAATAACAAACATTAGCAAATACGAACTAAATAATACAAGATCTAAACAACATTATTCCCTGTACATATGTAGTGTTACATACAAAAGAAAATAAGGTAATTTATATCATTAATATTAACTTTTATTGAAGAAGTTCCCATCGTCTACTTACTGACTACTGTAAAATTAATAAATCAATTATTTTCTTCTCTCTGAGCTTTTCCTAACTGGTGGTCTAACAAGTACTCTGCAGTAGATCTAATTTGTAATTTTGATTTATTTTTTTCAATTATAAAATAATGTTAGGAATGAAATTGTTACTAAAACTGGTATTGGCCTTGTGGTGTCAAGATTGTACACATGTTGTTTCTAGTTGAATGATCTTTATCACCGATTACAGCTGTCATTGGTAAATGGGGGTGAGATCACAGCTGTCCCTCGAAATCTAACGGGAGTGAAATCACATGTGTTATTATATTTGTGTGAGGGATTTTACAGCTGTTTTGCTAAAGTCAAAGAGTAGGGAGGGGGAATTTTGGAAGGTATCACAAGCTATATTCCAGTGGGAGATATTGTCTTAATAAGGGAAGGTGAATGACATGGTAATGAATCACAGTAGAGGTTCATTTAATGATGCCATGATGGGAAAAAATATATGATCACTATATGTAGATATAGAAAAATGCTAAACAAAAGTAGATAGCTAAAAAAATAATAAAAATACAAAAACAACATTTTCTAGTAAAGAGAGAGGGAGGAAAGATAAATTGTTAATTATTCGAAAACCAAAAACAAAATGTTTGTCTTTGCAATTGGCTTTATGGTAATTACTTACTTTAAATTAATGTTTTCAGGTTTTTTTTATCCTTGTTTTTCAGTTTCAATTATTGGCTGAGTGGTGGACTGAATCCGCTGGGGTTCCACATCACTAATGTCTTACTTCATATGCTAGTCTCTGCTATGTCTCTTCCTGTCTGTTCCATTCTGTTCGGAGGGGTGCCAGTGTTCGAATGCAACAGATGGAGTCATCCGCGAGCCAGTCTGTTGTGTTCATTATTGTTTGCGGTGCATCCTGTTCATACTGAAAGTGTAAGTGCAAAGTCAACCCCTGTGTAAATATTAGTTAAACTTTTAGTTTCAGTTTCCTTCATGTGTGGGAACATGACATGGTGCGACAGAAAAGCTTTCAAAAACATTCTACTAGGCCAAGTCATCTCCCTTATCAAATTTTAAAGCCATTTATTTAAATCTACTATAAAAATAAAGATGATTTGAATGGTTGTTGCCAAGGCCTATGAAGGGGTATATAAATGGCAGAGTACATATTGAGATTCATTTTACTTATTTATTATTAGAAAAAAAAAATGTATCCTAGTTGTTTTCAGCAGGATAGTAGTAAATAGCAAATAGTAAATTCCCTGAACATAAAAACTAATTTTTTTTTATTTGGTACTACTCGATTCATACTATATGTACTAAATTTATATTAACAAATTCTACTAAAGATATTTTTTCTACCAATGATATCTCAGTTGTGTGAATGGCATGTCCTTGTAAGAATACCAAGAATTTGTTTTTATGGTATAACTTGGTAAATAAACAGACCTCAGGAGACCTGTAAAGTTATTGAGATACAGTAGAACCTTCCTTTGGGGCATCCCTATAGGGAACACTTTTCAGCCACAAAACGAGGGAAAGTATATAACATTATGGCCAATCCCTACTCTGTGGACAACCAAAAGGGGACACTTTTTAGTCTTGAAAGTGTCCCCATAATAGAGTTCTACTGTACAGTATTTAACACTGTTGGCATATAATAACGGAGCGCAGCTATAGTCTCCGACATCGAGTGTCACTTATGTATCAACTTTTAGCAAGGCAGTTTTTTTATTTGGTCAAGAAACGTGACAAATATTGGTAGGGATAGTTTATCCCTATAAACCTAGTACATTTTCTGTTGTGTAAATCTCCTCATTTGATGGACAGCCTCCCAAATTTTCATGCAATCTCATGGCCTCCGGAATTTTGTCAACACACTTTATAAATACCGTAGGGTCAAGAAAGGAGTATTCATGATGCGACCCTGTTTTTTACCAATACTTTTTACCACTGTACACTAAGTATGAAGTACGAGTATGGACTCTTGTGTGGACTCAATAAGAAGAAGATAAATAATGTACATATACTACTAAATCCATTCCCGTATACTGATGATATACACAATATATTATTCTTTGGGGTCATCCAACTATTTCACTTGTTTTTCAAGAGAGTACAATACAAAGAATAATCCCTCTTCTGACTTCTCCAGTCCTATAAAGAGTACACATTATGGGCCTAATGATGATTGTGTTATTTAAGATCATTTGTCTTCCTAAACAAATATAAACAGTTAATTCCGTCCCCTTTAGCATATTTTGCATTCTAATACAATTTCTGGGGGTAAAAAATCAATAGTCTTAAATAATAGTAAAATGACCTAGTCGAAATTGGTTATTCAAATAATTTATCTTTATGCCATTTTCAAAATTACATAATACTGCACTCTGTTTAATATCATGGCATTGATGTTACAGTCTCAGTTGATTGTTACAGGAACAAAGGTGTTAAGACATGTTAATAATATGTATTCAAGCAATTATACATTAATGAAAATTGTCAGGGGATTTGACAGAGAATTTAATTTGATAATTTATACAAGAAAAAAAGATCAGTTTCCAGGTGAATTGCTTTTAGAGTACGATCAAACAGCAATTTATTTGCCCATAAAATTGGTGAGAATGATTTTATTGTTGTAATCTTTTCTATGAGAATATTACTCGGGAGTGATTTTAGCGCAGTTGTGTACTTTTGTAATAATGATGGCGATAGTGTGTGAATTGGCATATTGAACCACACAGCTATTAGCAATGCTCTAATAGCTTCAGAATTATTGATTGAAATTTATCAGTATTTACATTTTCATAGGTAATAGTAGTACTGTATGTTTGGTACAGTATTGCACTAACCTGTGTCACTATTTGAACAATTTGACTATTTATATTATTAACCAGTAACTACATTCTCATCATGATACATATGTTTACCATCTGGTTTGTGAAATTTTCGGTAAATTATAAAGAGCACTGGATTAATGGTTTTATATGGATATGCCTTTATAATATAAATACTTAATTATGTTCTCCCTTTTTGATTTTTTCTTCTGTGTTTTTGTTTATTCATCTTTCATAATGTTAACATGTCAACTTTGACATTAATTGTGGCAAAGACCAGCCAACCAGTCACTCTTTGCAAAAAAATGATTTTTAATTATTAATACAGGATTAAAAATGAGAGCTGTAAAATTGTAAAAGAATTATTTAAATCCGACATTTCATTAAATTACAGGAGTTTAAACATACAGCTGTTTAAAGAATGTATTTGAAAACCAGCCTTCAGAGTTTATGATTTGGGCTTTTCTCAGGCAGGGAACTAAATTTTTGTTTTAACATTGAAAATGGGGAAAATAACAACATAGTATGATGTATAGAGATATATAAAGGTTAGTTTAGTGCAATAAAATAGATTTCAATAAAAAAAATGTTGACATTGGCTATTATCTCTGAAACAGGATTTGGGACCAGTAACTGGTTTGGCTTGTCTTTGCCACAATTATAAATATACTCATATTACAAGGGACAATAAAGGGTGCCACCACAAAAAGTAATCTTGTTGTAGCCAACTTAGATTTTTCATTATTGGATTGAAATAACAATAATTAAATAATGATAATAATAATAATAATGATGATAATAATAATAATAATAATAATAATAATAATAATAATAAAATGGAAAGATAAGAAACTGACAAAAACAACTTCAAGACATATGATGATGATGATGATGGCAACAATGACGACAAAGGCAACAGTAGTGGTGGCGATGGCATTGGGCAATCACTTTGGTTTTGAATAATATCTGTTGTTTTGAGTGATGAAAAAAATTGTATGATATTTTACAAAAAAATGATGATGAAAATGAGAACTGATATTAATATATATAATGGAAAATTAGAGATGAAATGAAAATGAATAACATTAGTGGATGACACTGAGTGATGATATATAGGGGAGCAGTTGGTAGAGCTGTTATGACTCAAGCTCTCATTCGTAAAGTCGGGTGTTTTGAATCACACGCTGATACACTGTAACGCTTGTGTCCTTGGGCAGAGCAATTTATCTGCACAAGTTATTCTACAACCTTAAATGAGTACCAGGTAGAAATAATGACAAAGGTATTAATGTGAAGGTGTTCTTTAGAGGAAAATGCTGTACAGATACCAACATTTGTTTTTAAGTAATTATAATATTGACAATAATAAATTAATATTTATTATATAATGATGATGGTTGTGATTTATGATAAAGATAATGATATTAATGATAAATGATGAACATTGATTAATGATATTTTATACAGAATGGCAATAATTATAATCATTATCACATCATTATTACCAAATAATAATAATAATAATATAGTAATAATCATATTAATAATAATAAATTATTGTTATTATTATTAATATTATTATTATTATTATTATATTTAAGTAAGGTTTAACTCACAATTAAAAAATTTGAATAAAAAAAAAATATTTATCAAGTAACACAAATAATACCATACCTGTATTTTTTTTGCATAGATACGTGTTGGCGAAATTAAGGGTTTTTGTATTAAAGTGTTCATAAGTCTGTTTATGGTTGGACGTCAATAATTTATAATCATTTTAAATGAGCTGTTCAAAATTGATTAAGTATTTAACTATACATCGTTAAAATTAAAACCAATCTCATTTTGTCTTATAGGTTTCTGCAATTGTGGGTAGAGCTGATCTTCTTTGTGCTGTCTTGTTCTTCTCATCATTTCTTCTTTACGTTTCCTCCTTAAAAAAAGGTAAGACTTCAGAGCATTAAGATCAAATAAATAGCCTTTGAAAAGATTAACAAAATTCATTTATACGATCCTTTCCCGAGCCAGGAGGATTAAAGAATAAATTCTCTATCGCTTTCACACTAATCTCATTGCCCGTTTCATGTTGCATGATTTGGAGTCGTACAGTACATGATGTATTACATTGGAGTGAATATCTGTAAATGAATGTTGTGACATTTATTCAAGTGGTTGCATATCTTCTGAATTGATGTTTGTGTCATCAGTGTAGGGCTACATATTGCTTACAGTATGTGATATGTCAAAGTCTTCAAAGTATCCAAGTTTTTTAATGAATTTGAATTTAACAAAGACGTCACAGTGTAACATAACTTACCCCTTTTAAAATTTCAATTATTCTTTAAGGTATTTTATTAACAATAATTGCATTTGCAGTAAAAAATGTATTGTTACAATTTTACAGATAAAAATAATTAAAAGCATGAGAATTATATCTTAACTAATTTTGGACAGACAAAAATAGACATTACAATGAAACATAAAGCTTAACTAATTTTAAATTGATACAGAATCAATAAAACAATTTTAATTAGAAAATACATACAAATTTGAAATTAGATAAAAGGGGGAAAAAGAATTCAATGCGTTAGGTATAAATATGAAAGAATCTAAAAAGAAGACAAACAATAATACATTAAACATGAAATGCTACACATTAAAATATATAAAATGAAATTGTCAGTGATTTTGTTACATTGAGCATTTTACATTTTATCAGATATAGATAGAAATAGTGAATGTAAATGACTCCAAGTACAGTACAGAACTAATGGTCATCGATAAAATCGTTTTGAGTTATTTCAATAGTATGAAAAAACAAAAGCAAAGCTCTTTTTTCAGTTAACACTTTAGTTTGTAGTAGTATTTACAGAATGAACAATACACTTTAAAAAAAATCTTATCCCATAGAAATATATATATGAGACAAAGTGGTACATTAGTTACCGTTGGTTTTATTGCATGATGTCATTTTGATTTACCGGCGACTGACGGTGTCTGGAGACATGAGATTTGTCAACACCATTAAACTTTAAAGTTCAATAGTAATCAGCTTCATAACAAGTATGTTATAAATTTATCATTTACATCATGGTAAAGCAATTACTGCTCAAAGGAGCTATTAATGTAGCAAAAAAAAAAAGGTTTCAAATTTTAATTTTACTGCTTTACCATAGAAAATCACAGTAATGTGTCTGCATATAGGCCTATATGAAATGCTTTGAGCGTCAAACGATATGGTAAGGTTTGGCCATGGGCAACAAAACAATTGCAGTATATAAAAAAAAATAATGGAAGCTTTTGTCGAAAATGACCATCATACACTATCAGTAATTTGGTGCATAGTGTGGGATTGAAAAATTACATTGAACATCATACAATGACATTAACTATTTGGCTTATAACATGCTGTTCCATCCTCCTTTACCACAAAACCCGACTTATCCAAGAAAACTCGGGAAATCAAACCCGGGTCTCTTATCATAGCTAATTATACTCTAATTATCAGGAATGCTAGACCGCAGTACATGAAGGGCTATCGCGGCTGGAAAAGTCATTATCTCAGAGGGGTGCTGCCATAGCAATAAACAATCAATTCATACTGAGTTTACTATAAAAAGAATAAAAAATCTATTTTGTTGAAAATCATATGAAATATGTTAACATATTTGTCTTTAGCAGAAAAAACTGGCCTACCACGAGTTCAAATCGTAAAAAATGAGCCCTTTTACGAGAAATTACAAAAGTACAGGGCTATTACTGTGCCTAGCCTAGGCCGTCTTGGTATAGGCGTTGTCGTACGACGACATGAAGTTTCTGAAAAAGGCAGATGAATATATTGGTTTGAACGTGATTCACTTTGAATCCATTTATTAATAATATTTTTTATTGATGAAAATTAGTGTGTAAAAAATTTAGAAACTACTTTAAATGTACGAATCGTTTAATATATAATTGTTTACAACGGTAATTGGGAACTATTTTGCCAGCGTAATGACAGAAAAACACCAGCAGTAAATAATAAAAGAGCGCTTGGTTTGATCGTCAGATGATTCGTGTCATATGTTGTAAATTTGTAAACAGTGGTTGACAGTGCTGAGAGATGGAAAGAATTAGGTCGGCAAAAATTTGTCGACCTTAAATTCTCAGAGGTCGGCAGTCTTGGCAATTTTTTACTACCTAGGCCTATATAGTATTAACTACGATTTTTCCGAACGCTCGAACTTACATATCCATGCATGTCCATGCGCATGCCCAGAATGATCAATCAGGGATTTCCCACATGTACTTGTTAGTAGTGAAGTCACGGCTCACGATATGATTGTGATTGCATTTAAACAACATTTTAAATATGACAATAATACTGTAAAATGAAGACAAATAATAGATTTAGACAAGCATCTACGCGGTCCACGTGGCTTCAATTTGGCGATGTTGTAGGCCTTTGTTGACTAGTATCATTCCTACCTAGGCCTAGCCTACGAAACGACTAAGCGAGAAAGACAAGACGATTGTACACAAATCGTACGTACTGCATGCCTATTATAAATAGTTATTGTACAAACAAATCTGTTTTATGAACCACCAATTTCCTTGGTTTGACGACGTACATGAAATTTAGTGTCTGCTATAGCCTGTTTCAGTCAAAGTTTTGGCTTTCCAAGCAGTTTTTGAAGCCGTAGAAAAAAACTATTTAACAACACCTTGATTTTTTTTCCTAATAAATTATAACAAAAACCGGATGATATTGTTGCATTTTATTATTTCTGTTAAACATTTGTGTTTGTGAGCATGGAGTATGGTGAAAGTAGTTCCAGTTTACTGTCTGCCTGAGAATTGATTCTTTTTTATACTGTTCCCTGGTTTATCTAATTAATAATAATAATATTTATTGACATTACACTTTTACATCAGTGGCAGCACACAAGAAAGTGGTGCAGTCAAACTTAAACTAATGAACAAAGAGTAAAACAACAACTTAAAGCTAAACAAATGAAAGAACTTATGAACAAAGAGTAAAAACATCAACTTAAAGCTAAACAAATGAAAGAACTTAACGAAAGAAAATACAACTTGGATCAGAAATAAATCATAAACATCCCTCACCCTTAATCTTGTTAATTACTTAACACTTATCTGATATCCTGTGGAGCTTGTAATTAGCTCAAGGACACTAGACCCTGGTTGCAAGAGGCAAATTTTGGTAAAGGAGGATGGAACCTCATGATTTATTATACTTTTTGCAATTATTTTGCTCATTAATTTGTACACTTACTGGATTGTAGGCACTATTAAACAATTACAAACAATATCATACAATGACATTACTATTTTGCTTATAATTTATTATACTTTTTGTATCTTGTGCAATTATTTTGCTCATTAATTTGTACTTACTGGATTGTAG